CTTCTGATTTCTACATGGAAATTAATCCTTCTGTATTTGTTTTCTGGAGAATGATTCTGAATATTCTCCATACGCTTTCTGTGAAAATGTCAGCCTAGCATTCATTTCTAGTAGATGTGCTTTCAGCAAAACTTGCTCTTAATGTCTCTGGTGTGCAGTCATCTGAGATTTCCCATTTGTTCCAAGGTACTTGGAGGACTGATTTGGCTTTGAAATTTACAGCTAACACTCCCTGAACTTGGCTGTAGCCTTTACATGTTTACCGTACATCTTTCACAATATAATGATTTCCACGCTTCATTTAACTTGATTCATATTAAACAAGTAAGCTTGGGAGGTGGGGGTGGCTTAAAAAAAACAAAAGATTGGTGCTTACTGTTTTTGGTGTTCTGCCTTGTTTTTGTTAAATCACTTTAATTGGCCCTTTAATTATATTACACTGAGCCCTCGTTTCAAAGGCTCATCTGGAATACCTGCTTAGGAAAAATGTGGGTCAGATGGGAATGAAGCAAAAACTGAGCTGCAACTTAACATGACAATTCCTCAGTGCAGCCAAACACTGTCAATGTTTTGTTTATATCTTTGGTGATTTGATGCAAATAGAATCGACAGTTGGCCGGGATCTTTGTTGTTTTGTTTTGTTTTCAGAGGTATTTTAAAAAACATTTTTGCTATCAGGAAAGCGAAGCCTAAACTGTTAGGCATTTTATTCCTCTCAATGTCGTTTTATTCTTTTTTACTTTATTAAAGTATGTAGTTGCCAAAATAAAACTAAAAGCTAATGACTGTAAAAGTATTTTGATACTTTGTAAAGTGAGCATATTAAATCATTTGTTTAACTTCATATATATTCCTCATGAGCTAATTTTATAGGATGACTGATGGCACAGAGAACGTGCATGGTAAAGAAAGGAGGTAAAAGCTACGTATATCTATTAAACAAATAAATTGGAGGAGAAAAAAATCTGTTGGCTGATTATGGCAGAAGTTTCTCATGATGTTTGAGAAAGTAGAATGTAATATGGAGATATCTTAATATGAGCAATATGTTTTTTTGTATTAATATAATAATAATATGACTTTTTCCCATTTTGGTGGCTATAAAATTTTACCTTCTAAGAGTCATTTTAGTATTTTTTTATTTACTTTAACTTTTTAGAAATCAATCTGAAATTTTACTTGAAACTATTCAGCTTCTGATTCATGTGAATTACATTTGATTCAAAGGCTTTGTTTATTTTTAACCACAAAAAGGTGATAATTCATATTAGCCGTTGGTTGTCCTTTGTGTACCTAATTAAATTGTATTAATAAGGTGAAATGAACATTGTTTGTCAAAGTACACTTATTTACTTTTAAATATATCTCATTTTGATATAACGATTTGATTCTTAGTTTCTTTGTCAGAATGTACTACACACAGAAAAATAGTTTTATAAATTATTGCTGTTACCATTAATTCATATTGGTGAAACATTCATGATATCAATAGTTTTATCCATTATAGTTGGCTCAAGTCCATGAATTTCATACATATTCATATTTATTTTTACTGTACAAATGATTTGTTGTTCAAAAGAGGTGGAAATAAAAAGGTTCAGGTGAAGTGAAAGTTTGTAACTATAATTTGGAGGGGATTATTACCCATTAAAAAAACAATTCTAAGCTTCAAATCCTTTTTTGTACAAGGGTATAGAGAAAAGAAAGTAAAATAAGTTACAGTTTACCTCTGAAAATAAACGTGAACAAATTGTCATACTACTTCAACAGATGCAAATGCATCTCCATAAGTTTTCATTGAGATCACAGATGAAAGCAATTCTAGAAGAAATCTGCATGGGAAGAAAAAAAATAGAAAATAAAGAGGAATGATTATGTCAATATTATCCAGCTTCACACATTAGTAGAACTTGTCTATAAGTTTTTATGGGGGAGGACCTCCTTCCCACCTTCCACCTTTCAAAAGTAGTTCCTCGTTCCATGAGATATTGCTAGAAAGTCTACCATTAAAAATTGGTTTCCAGAAAGTATCAGTCCTCTTTGGAAATGCATGTATCCCTCATGAGGGTAGCAATGGTTCCAATCAATGATTCACAGGTGGATATCGAAACTTCAGCATGTGTATGGCCTCTGTGGCTGCTGGATGGGATCAAGGCTGTTAGAAAGTGAAAGAAGATTGTGTGCTGGCTTGTGCTGGGTGACCATGGGCCAGTTGTGGGTAGTGAGAAGTAGTTGTGGGGAGGTAAGGAAGTACAGGAGACTAGGCTCTTCATCATGTAACCTGAGGCTGCCTCCAGCAAACTGTTGAACTTGGAAACTAGACTATGCTAGCTTGATTACCTGTTGGTGCATTTGAAATGTATTGGGAGCTTTTTCTTGAAAAATTAAAAAAAAAAAAAAATACTTTCCACGTCAGGAGTGGTGGCTCATGCCTGTAATCCCAGCAGTTTGGGAGGCTGAGGCAGGAGGATTGCTTGAGGCCAGGGGTTGAAGACCAGCCTGGGCAACAAAGAGAGACCATGCCTCAAAAAATAACAAAAATAAAAATCAAAAACATAAATATATGATATGTAAAATATATATATTAACGTTTTGGGTTTTTAAAATTTAATTACATAAATATATCTATATATATTCTAAAATAAAAGAAAATGCTTTCCAAATAAGAACTTACATCTTCAGCTGTGATTACAGTTTATAGATTTGCCTATTTAAATGTCAGAAATCTGTTAAATACTATGATTTATATGAGTTGTTAAAAAAAAAATTCCCACATGGCTTCTTTATTAAAAAACAAAAGCTACAGTTAATTGCCCATACAACAGTTTTTATTTAAAATGGAACAAAATTTAATGTCCATAAATTTAACTTATGAATGTAAATTGAAAGACATAGACCAGTAATTTGTCCTAATTGTTATAATCTACTCAAAACAAAACATTTGTAAAACTTTTGTCTACAGAAAAATTACCTTTTTTTGTCTATAGACAAATTACAGTTTTTTTTTTTTTTTTTTTGAGACAGAGTCTTGCCCTGTCACCCAGGCCAGAGTGCAGTGGCACAATCTCAGCTCACTGCAACCTCTGTGCCTCAGCCTCCCAAGTAGCTGGGATTACAGGTGTGCACCACCATGCCCAGCTAATTTTTTTGTGTTTTTTAGTAGAGATGAGATTTTGCCATATTGGCCAAGCTGGTCTTGAACTCCTGGCCCTAAGCAATCCACCTGTCTTGGCCTCCCAAACTGCTGGGATTACAGGAGTGAGCTACCACACCTGCCTATAGATAAATTACTTATAATATATGGGATGTATTGTAGTAAAATAGAAGCAATTAAGCTAAAGCCAACTGAATTCAACCTTAAAAAAAGTTATTTATTGCTGTAATATATTAATTCATTAAACAAATTTTTACTGAATGCCTATCATGTGTTGGTCACTATTCTAGGTGCTGGGGGGTCACTGCGAATAAAATGGACAAACTCCCTGCTTTCAAGGAGCTTGCCTTGTAATGATGCCAGTCGTAGCCCAGAGTAGTAGTTTATTTTTAAGAGAATTTGTAGTTTATTTTCAAAAGCATTTATTTATTTTGAGATGGAGTCTTGCTCTTGTCACCCAGACTGGAGAGCAGTGGCGTGATCTCTGCTCACGGCAGTCTCTGCCTCTTGGGTTTAAGCGATTCTCCTGCCTCAGTCTCTCAAATAGCTGGGATTACAGGCACCTGCCACCAAGCCTGGCTAACCTTTGTATTTTTAGTAAAGACTGGGTTTCACCATGTTGGCCAGGCTGGTCTCGAACTCCTGGCCTCATGTGATCTACCCACATTGGCCTCCCAAAGTGCTGGGATTACAGGCGTGAGCCACCGTGCCCAGCCTTTTCTCACATTTATTTTTAAGAGCCTTTTCTCACGTTTTAATAATTCATTTTGTAACTTAGCATAATTACCTAGTGAATGTTCTTGAGTTGAAGATGCATTTATGTTTATGTTAATTTGGTAAATAAAATTAATTATTTCAACAACTATATATGAAAAAGCTGTTATCTGCTGGGAACTGTTTTGAGGATAATGGCAGTTAGAAAAATGAATCAGAAACAGATCCTGACCTCAAGGTATAGTCAATAATGGGGAATACAACAGTGACAGAAGAATGGAAGAAAAGCAGTCATAAAATAGGCTTTGTGCCAATCTCAGTAGTTAAATAGAATGAAATACTGTGTTTCTGTGTGGAGCAGGGCAGTACTATTGCCCTTATATGTGTGGGTTGAAAAGTTAATATTTTCGACTTTGTATTTCTTCCAACAATTAAAACTTGTACCTGTTTTATTATGATAGTACCTTCTCTCTCCAGCCTAGAATATAGAAGCAGTCTCTGCTAAGAGATCCTTGAACTCTAGGGAAATAAAATGCAATCAGATTTTAGATGATTATATAGCTGAGATTTTCTTTACTTTCTAGTCTCTATCTTATTTAAAGGCTTCCTAAATAATGTAGCTAGGAACGGCAATAAGGAAATAAATTACAAATACATTTAAATTTCCCTGTAGAATAAGAAATAGATAGTATCTGAAGGATACACTGATTTATGAAATAAATATTACATTAATCTAATATTTAACAGTTGAAGAAAAATGAGGACTTCACAGGAAGAGAAATCTCTAACATATTTCAATAAGTAACCAATATTTTGATTTAGACTATACAAAAGCTTCAGCTATTAGGAACACAAACAATGACAGGTTCTTTTCATCTTTGAGAGACAGGTAAGTTGTCTCATTTCTGTCTTATTGGTGTAAAAATGAAAACACAAAGATTATGTGGCTTTTCCTTCTGATCAGTTATTAGCTAAAGTGAAAGGAACCCCGGCTTGCTGTCTGGTACTTCACCAGTGGTTACCACTGTGGTTTATGGGACAACAGCAATGAGGTAGGGCCAGAAAATGATGTTTACAGGGATTTTTATGAAAAGGCCAATTATATACAAATGTCTTTGTCTCTGATTTGTAGTTACCAGCTGACAAGTGGATACAAGCCCGCCCCTATGGACCTGAGCTTTATCAAACTCACCCCGTCTCAAGAAGCAATGGTGGACAAGTTGGCAGAAAATGCACACAATGTGTGGGCGCGGGATCGAATCCGGCAGGGCTGGACTTACGGCATCCAGCAGGTGCGTGGGAATGAGCTCCACAGCATTTGGTCTGAGACTTACTTAAGTGGGAATTAGCATAATTTGTAACAGGAAGGATTAAATAATGACTATTTTAGAACTCGTATCATATAGATCACACACAGTGCACATTTGGACTAAAACACCTGTTTAGTGCTAGACTGAAGAACTTACATGAGGTTAGCTCTGACTGTAATAGCGAACACATGTGAGGCACATGATGAATAATATAATACTACATTGGTGACTTATAATATGGTTTTGTGGTATTTCTCTCTCTGAGACTGTGTTTTAGGAGAAACTTTTGAAATGTAAGAACATTGGGATAAAACGATAATAAAATGGGTGCACCATTCCTTATTCACAACCCCTGGGGCCACATACATTTCAGAATTCAGTCTTTGTATTTGGTTTTCAGAATGGTGATTTGAGGATATATTACATGTATGTACATAACAACCTTGGTAGGGCAGCTGACTTCAAATTGCAATTCATTCTGCACAAGGGAGGCAGGGTCATACCAAGAGGGGTAAAGACCATAAACAGCCTCGCATCAGTTCCGGTTTCACCACTGAGTTACTGTTGCAGATCATTTTGTTCCAGGCATCAGTAGATATTCAGGTATTTGGGTATTAAGGTATTCAGGATTAGGTATTCAGTACTAATTTGCCTGAAAGAGGAAAGGAAGAAAAGACAAGACAGTATTTCTGGCTGGGCGTGGTGGCTCACACTTGTAATCCCAGCACTTTGGGAGGCTAAGGTGGGAGGACTGCTTAAGCCTGGGAGTTTGAGACCAGCCTGGGCAACATAGTGAGAGACTGTCTCTACGAAAAATTTAAAAATTAGCTGGGCATGGTGCACATGCGTGTAGTCCCAGCTACTCAGGGGGCTGAGGTGGGAGGATGGCTTGAGCCCAGGAGGTTGAGGCTGCAGTGAGACTCTGTTTCCAAATAATAACAACACAACAACAAAACAGCAACACCACCACCACCACAGTATTTATTCTCTGGTTTACCAGAACAACCCCTGTCTGATTCCATAGCTTTTTTTTTTTTTTTTTTTTTTTTTTTAAACCCTTGGGAGGTGTGGTGGGAACATCCACAGCCTCCCAGTGCCTGTTTACATTAAAGTATTGAGAATTGATTACACTTCTTGAAATGTGGAAACTTGAGCAAATACTGCAACTGGTCTCAGGGAGTGAATGGAAAGAAGTAACTTGCAAAGTGGCATTGCCCTACACACTTGTAGGAGTTGATGCATCTCCCCCATCGCATGGAATTGAGTTCTGTACTCTGATATTAAGCATCCTTTTGCCAAGATAGTAAGATAGCCCGCTCTCTCTCTGTGTGTGTCAACACATTTTAACCACAGTTTAACATTGGAGCCTCTTTTACAATAGACAAGTTATGAGTTTTATAGTCATTTTAGTGCCCCTGGCATTGCTGGGTTTCACTGGTTGATGGATTCAACACATTGCATATTTTTCAATTAGGGACATAGAAGGGGGATCCATAACACGCTGGAATTTTTCTGAAGAAGGGAAAGCAGCCTTAAGTTCTTCATTGACTGAAAACCATGGGGGGGGACCAGTACTAATATGGCTCTTCTTGGAATAAAACCCTGTCCATGAACTGTACTTGCAAATTGGGTGTTCTCTACTATTGTCCTTTGCCATGTGAACGTGGCAGATGGAAGTGGTTAGAGATCACTGAAGCTGTTTTTTGTTGTTGTTTTTCCTTCTCATGGAGATGGCCTGCTTTCCATACAGGTGCTTATTCATTTGATTGAATCTTTTCTATTGATAGTGTTTTGGTAACTTTGCAGCCTGGGAAAACGCAGGGATTGTGGAAGGGTCAGGTTTTCTCATGGAATTTTAAGTTTGATGTATTTGGTAGCTATTTATTTTTAAAAGCCCTTGGTGTTGCTTAGACATCTGCACCCAATTTTTCCCTGCAGGACGTAAAGAACAGAAGAAATCCTCGCCTTGTTCCCTACACTCTTCTGGATGACCGAACCAAGAAATCCAACAAGGACAGCCTCCGCGAGGCCGTGCGCACGCTGCTGGGGTACGGTTACAACTTGGAAGCACCAGATCAAGACCATGGTATTTTGGTTTTACTTTCCTCCTCTTCGGTTGCAAGATCATGTAGTAGTTCTTTAAAGCCAAATAAACGAATAAAAGGGGGAGTACTAAACAAGGTCCTCTAGTCTAGGTGTGGAATTTAATCCAAGTGGCTTTTCTTCCCTGAAAAACACCTGAGGGGTTAGACCCATCTCTCAGTGGGGTGGCTTAGGATGCTGATGATTCTGTGGGCGGAGAAAATGGGCCTATCTTCCTCAAGCGTCTGAGATCAATAGGTACTTCCCTGATTATGATGTTGGACTCCGCCCCTAGCCCACCAGCCCTCTTCCAGAATAGCTGAGTTTTGCAGATTTGGGAAATAAGCCTGTAGTGGAGGCTAGTGTTTTACAAAATTCCACCTTCGCCATGTACACACACATGTACAGGCAACATTGAATTAATTAATGTGATATTTTGCTTTAAGGGAAACACATTACAGTAGGTACTCAATAACTATGTGTTGAACACAATGGATTTTTAAAGGTTCTGCAAAGAATACATTTTCCTTAAATAATACCTTTGAAGAATGTAGTTTAGGCTGGGCGCGGTGGTTCATGCCCCTAATCCCGGAACTTTGGGAGGCCGAGGCAGGCAGATCATGAGATCAGGAGATCGAAACCATCCTGGCTAACACAGTGAAACCCCATCTCTACTAAAAAAATGCAAAATTTAAAAAAAAAAATTAGCGGGTGTGGTGATGGGCGCCTGTAGTCCCAGCTACTCGGGAGGCTGAGGCAGGAGAATGGCGTGAACCCGGGAGGCGGAGCTTGCAGTGAGCCGAGATCGCGCCACTGCACTCCAGCCTGGAAGACAGAGCGAGACTCAGTCTCACAAAAAAAAAAAAAAAAAAAAAAAAAAAAAAAAAAGAATGTAGTTTAGATAGAATGAGCCACTCTTTAATCCTTTGCTCCTGCAGTTTGAGTTAATTTAATACCCATTTTCAAAACACTGAGAAAAAAGAAATGAGGGTTGTGTGCTTCATCATAGTGCCTATAATTGTTGATGGAAAGTTTTAAAAATGTATTCCAAATGTATTCCAGTGGCTCATATTTTCAGTGCATTACCCGTACATAAAAGTGGATCTTAAATAATAATGATAGTTAATATTTATATATTAGCTATATAAGTGTTTCTAAGACTTTTACAATTATTATTTAATCCTCACAGTAACTCTTATGAGGGCGATACTTGTATTATGCTCATTTTATAGATAAGGAACCTCAGATTCAGGGACTTCTGTGTCTTCCCATTTAAAGTGGCAGATGTAGGATCCTAATCATAGGCATCCTGACATATTTTAGTCCTTTGAATTGAGCAAATACATACTTAACATCTTGACAGATCTTATCAGTTACTGGACTCTTCTATTGGCTGCAAATTAAATGACATATCCACTTGTTAGCAATAATAATAATATCCATAATGCTAACATAATATCTATCTTGAGGTTAGCTTTATAACAACAGAGATGTGGTACACTCGTTATGAATCAGATGCTGTTAGGTGTGCAAAATACCAAGAAGATTCCTGTCTCAAAGAGTATATAGTCCATGTAACCACTGGGAAGAAAGTAAACAATAAAAGGCTTGTGAGGCAAAAATTGGCAATCAGAAAGACTTCTAAAATTCTCTGATATAGAATACACCCTGAAAGTTAATTGGTTCTAAATAATTATGTTTTTAAATTGAAATAGAACTTACATACAATAAAATGTACACATCGAAAGTGTTCAGTTTGGTAAATTTCGTCAGTTGTAGAAACAAAAGGAACCTCTACCAAAAACACCTCCAATGTTTTCTTCGTTCCAGAAAGTTTCATTGTGTTCCCAACAAAGTAACCACTTTGTAAGTTCTATCATTACACATTAAGTTATAGCAAATAGAAATAGAAATGTAACCTATAAAAGCAGATGTTATAATTATAATCACTCTAGCATGTATTTTTTATATCTAGTTTCTTTTGTTCAACATAACGCTTTTATGATCTTGCATGTTTCATGTATATCACAAAATCTGTTGCTCAGTGGGATTCCTTAATAGTAATAATTTACCCTTTGTTTATCCATTCTCCCATAGATGGATGATTTGGGTTGTTTCCAATTGTAGGTGATTATGAATAAGGCTGCTATGAATATTCATATACAAATCTTGGTATATAATTAATCTTTCATTTCCCTTAGGCTAAATACCTAAGAGTATAATTGCTGAGGCATATTTTCTAATTTGTGTTGGCCTTTTTACTGAATTGCATTTTAAAAAGTGTATTTTGGATAGAAGAACCATGCCAGGTATGGAAAGATTTTCTTCCATTTGTAGGTTGCTTTTTCATTTTCATAATGAGGTCTTTCAAAGAGCAGGCATTCTTAATTTGAAGTCCATTTATGATTTCTTTTCCTTTACAGTTGGGGGTTTTATGTCCTAGGACATCTTTGCCTATGCATAAACAAAAATATTTTCTCTTATGTTTCCTCCCAGAGTTTTATTATTTTAGCTTTTACTTGCAGGTCTATGATCTAAAGTGAGTTAGCTTTTGTGTATGAGGTAAGGTTAAGATCAAGGTTCATTTTTTGTACAGATGAATATCCAACTGTTCCAGCACCATTTGTTGGAACAATTATTCTTAGCAAATTAAATTACCTTGGCATCTTAGTCAAAATCTATTGAACACATAAGTCAGTCTATTTCTGGACTGTATATTCTGTTCCATTGATCTGTGTGTCTGTCCTTAAGCTAATATTCCATTGTCTTCATTTTTATCACAAAATAAATCTTAAAATCAGGTAAGGAAAGTCTTCCAACTTCTTTCATCTTTTATAAAGGTTTTTTTATTCTTCTTTTGCATTTCTACATACATTTAGATTCAACTTGTTAATTTAATTTGGATGGGATTACAGTTGAATTCATAGGTTGGTTTCTGAAGAATTGATATTTTAGCCTTATTTAGTCAACTGATTCATGAACATGGTACATTTGTCCATTTATTTTCATCCTCTTTAGTTTCTCTTAGCATTGCTTTGCAGTTTTCAGAGTAGAGGTCTTATACATTGTTAGATTTATCTGATGTTTTTGATAATATTACGTGAAATTTATTTAAAGTTTATGTCATTTCCCAAATGTACATGAATATGAGATATATAATTGATATTTGCAATATTGACCTTATATCCTGTGATTTGGCTAAATTTATATGTCAGTTCTATTTTTTTTGTGTGTGTGAATTCAGTGGGATTTTCTATATACACAATCATGAGGTCTGCAAAAACTAAACCTCACTTTTTCTTTTACAATTGTTATAGCTTTTTTGCTTCTTGATTTATTGAACAGGTAAAGAATTCAGAACACTGTTGAATAGAAATGGTAAGAGAGGTTATTCTGCCTTATGGGGGAAAGTTGTGATGTTTCACCATTAAGTATGATGTGAAGTATAGCTTTTTATAGATATCCTTTATCACATTGAAGAGATTCCCTTCTATTCTTCATTTGTGGGTGATTTTATCATAAATAGGGTCTTGAATTTTGTCAAGTGCTTTTTTCTCCATTTATTGAACAGATTATGTATTTTTCTCCTTTATTCTGTGGATATCATGACTTCCAAGTGATTTTCAAATGTTAAACCAGTTTTCTATTTCTAGGATAACTCTCCTCAGTCATGGTGCATTGTCCTTTTTTACACAGAGCTGTATTCTATTTGTTAATATTTTGCTTAGAACTTTTGTAGCTAAGTTTATGGACAACACACTGCTGTATAATATTTTTCTTACAATGTCTTTGTTAGATTTTGATATTGATGTAAAGATAGCTTCCAAGGAAATTTTCTCTCCTGTTTTCTGAAAGAATTTGTGTTAATTCTATATTATTTCTTTTTCAAATATTTGATAGAATTTATCATCGAAAGCATGAGCATGGAGTTTTATCCTATAGGAAAGTATTTTATTATGAATTCAATGTATTTAATACCTTGAGAGCTATTTAGAGTTTCTATTTATTCCTGTGTCAGTTTTGATAAATTACGTTTTATAGTAAATTAGTTCATTTAATTATATATAGGCATAAAATTGTGCTAATGTGCTCTTATTATTCTTTTAATGTCTGTAGAATCTTTAATGATATCCCCCTTTTCATTCCTGATATCGGTAGTTGACATTTTCTCTCTTTTTATCCTGAGCACTCCTCTAAGGGATGAATTTATTTTATCAATCTTTTCAAAGGTTAATTGATCTTAAATGTATTTTTGTTTTGGTTAAAATTTCAGACATGTATTTGTTTCTCCATATGACCAATCATGGATTATTATGAGTGATCTGCAGTGGTTATGCGTGACTACGTCTTACGTTACCTTAGGAGCGCACAGCATTATTGAGTAGCACTATGGCATCCTATGGAGAATGTCAATGTTCAATCACAGTGTCAAGAGATCCTGCTTTCACAGCTTTGAAATGACCTATGAAATGTACTTTCTAATGAACAAATGTATATATCAGGCTTACAAATATTCACTAACATTGCCTTGTGATGATATAGTATTTCCAATAGAGTTTTTGCATACTTTCAAATATTTGATTCAACCACCCTCTTTAGGCAAAAGAAGGGTGTAATAATCAAAGAGTTCTTGAGCTTCCCTCTAGCTTTATAAATCTTTAACATTGTGCATCCGTGGAGGATGTAGGTAGCAGTGATGACAATCAATATATTTTTAGGTTGGAAAGATACTTATATAATGATAATGATAAAATTTGGGGGAAAAAACTCACACATGGTTTTATAGTCTGACACATCAACCATTTGATTTCCCCAGGTTTTCATTACTTTACACATGAATATTTATATTTTTGGTATCAATAGTTTTAATAGGGATATAATTACCCGTTTTCCTTCCGCTACCCCACTCTGCTTAATATCAAACATTTTGAAAGTTATTTACTCTGCATTTAGAAGGAACTCTCACATTGCTTACCTGATACTCATTGAAAATTACAAAGAGAG